AGTGTATAGATCTATACGGGGTTGACTACCCCGCACCTGGCTGCTAGCTACAGCCGAACCGAAAGGTTCAAGGGTGATGAAAGTCTTATAGGGTGATGGACTACTTATTGCACTAATTAGTCTATTGTATGGCTATGGAACTCGCAATTTGGATAACATAGATTTACCTTTTAGTAATAATGGGTTTAGTAACTAGTTTACTTGGTATTTATTGGTTTTATAAACGTGTTAAAACTAATACATTTTTAGTGTACATCTTTTACATTTCATTTCGAGTTGGTAAACTAACATGCACTTTACAAGGATAACCAGGTTTTCAGTTTACATCTTTCATATTAGGAAAATATGGGATTTTCCTGGGATCACAATCGAACATAACCAGAACCATATAATCTAACATTTAACCAAACATTACTTTTAAGAAAATATGGGATTTTCTTGGGTCGTAACATTTTCAGAAACCAAAAGGAAACTCATACATTTTCATAAAACAAAACCGCTTATGAACTCACCAGCTTTATGCTGATTTTTAAAATGCTTGTATTCTCAAGTCCACATTAGACATGTACCCGATGATCAAAGACAGAGTGCGTAGAAGACACGTCTTGCTTTTGTTCATATATATACATATGTATCACACTTGTACAAATTTACTTTTGAACAAATGTAAATTTTCATATGTAATGTAATGGTTGTTCACTTTGATTACTATGTGCATTGGATTTGATACTCAACGTGGAGTCCGCCCCGGAAATGTTTCCGCCTTTGGTTTTTGGGGTGTGACACTCAGATAGAAGGCTAGAGCAAGAGACGATCTAGACACTTGAGGATATGCTTTGGGCATGCGTGTTGGATTTTAGAGGTAGTTGGTATACATACCTACCATTGGCAGAGTTTTCGTATAACGATAGTTATCATGCGAGTATCAACCTCCCTCCGTTTGAGATGTTTTATGGTTAGAGATGTAGGACCCCGATTTGTTGGGGTGAGGTTGGACACTGAGTCATGGGGAGCACCGAGGTAGAGCTCTAGACTACGTGGTTGATTCAGCAGGTACGCGGCCGTCTACGAGTCGCACAGAGCCATTAAAAAAGCTATGATGACTGTTGTCGGTCGGACTTGAGCTCCAGGTGGGGGATTTCGTCTTGCTGAAAGTGTCACTGTGGAAGGGTATGATTAGGTTCCAGGAGAGGGGAAATCTAGGGCCCGGTATATTGGACCGTTTAGGATTACTTCCCGGGTAGGCTAGGTCGCCAATCGCTTGGATTTACCAAACGAGCTTAGTCAGATACACAACACCTCTCATGTATCTCAGATTCGGAAGTGTGTCACAGACGAGACCGTGTTAAATAGTGTTGGATTAGTGTCTAAGGCTGTAACTATATTTGGTAAGTACTTGACCCGGTTGTGCATGGTCCTTTTGGGTTGCCTTCCCCATAGTAACTTGAAAACGTGATTTATATAGAGAGGAGAAATATTATTATTAATGTGTTATAAGAATAATATATTAAAGGAATAATAATATTATTTGATTGATATAAGTCATAAATTAATTAGGAATTAATTCGGTGACTTAAATAGATTAATTAAATAAAGCGGCATAAACTGTCAAATGTGTGATAGTTGTGTTTTAGACTATGAATCCTTATGGATATGGGAAGCGATGATGTTAAGGATATGGATATCCTAGAAATCGTCCAAGGCCTTATCCAGAAGGATCTTTGGATTGCTTTGAGGCTAAGTTATCCAATTAGGGTTTAAGGTAACACCCTAAGAACTCATAGTATAAATAGACCCTTAGGGTTGGAGAAATCGGAGACTCAATGTTTGAGGAAACCCTAGAGCCGATTTCTCACCTCTCTCCCTCTCTCAAATCATCTTCTTGCTAGTAGGTGTTTGTAAGCCATTAGAGGAGTAACAATTGTGACTCTACGCTCCAAGGAAAAGAAGTTTTCAAGCAAGTAACTCAAGATATTCTTCTAGATCTAATTTCATATGTTATGAACTGTTTGTTTACACTAGATCTATGATTCAAAGTCTTGGATACAAAGCATGTTCAATTAGAGAAACCTAGATCCAAGCAATAGGGTTTCCATGTGCACATAGGAAATTTCTTACCATCAATGGTATCAGAGCCTTGATTGGTTTCAATTGAATATGATGCTTAATTGTTTTGCTTGCTGAAAATCGTTTTTCTTGGCCTCTGCCCGACCCAACTCAGCGAGTCAGTGTCTGGACTTGGCCCTACTCGGCGAGTCCAAGTGTCAGGCAGAGGATATTTCGGGATTTTGTTCCTATTTTGTGTTGGATTTGATACCTAAACCGTTTTGTTATGTTAAAATCCGAATTTTGACTTAATTTTATGATTATCCTTGACATAACAATACATAATTTCAAATCTTTTCAATATTGGTTATTTATATGATAAATATTGACTATTTAAAATTATTTGGTAATTATCTAATGACTAAAATTGGATTAGGTCAAATACAGATAATTATGAAACTAGTTATTTGAATTATTTGTTATTTGATCCCTCTAGTTTTGAAAAGTTCAAATTTGTCCCGAAGTTTTGAGATTTAAATTTTGTGATTAAAAGTTTAATTTAGAAGAATTTAAATTTCAACCCCTAGAGTTTTACAAGTTTAAAATTCAACCCTATACTATTATATTATTAAAGCTTAATGAATATATATAAGTATAATTAAAATGTTAGTCTTACCGTTAGTAGGTCTCATTCACGAAGTCGATCTATAAGGTGGGTATAAGGTTGCTGTCTATAAAATGGCGTTTAATGGGTGTACACTCACACCCACCGCTTGCTTGACTGGTGGAGGGTCGTTAGCCGAACGGGTAGGATAGGGCAACTCTCTCTTCTCATTAAAAGTATAATGTTGAAATATTAAGTAACTACATGTTTTTCCAAATTCTCAATCCTAGTTACTTTAGGCAAAAGTGAATTGATGCAATGCCATGAAATTACACTTTGCATCCTTGCTAAGAAGTTAGTGGAGCGTGTGTGGTTTACTGGGACACTAACTAGTTCTAAGCAAAGGTGGCAAAGGGTGATTCATTGTTTATCATAGTTCGATGGAGCGTGTGTGGTTTACCGGCACATCAAATAGGTGATTGTAACAATGAAGGCACCGTGTAGATTAGCATGGTTATTCACACCCACTTTGTGATCCTCGGTATCCCAGTCACAAACGAGAGGGGCATATCGAGATTTAAACATGCCATTGAAAAGTTCAATGAACTCCAAGAAAATCTAGGAATTCTTAATACATTTAAAACTTAAAGTTATGTTTTTCATGGCGAAGAATTAGTGAATCATCATTCACTTACCTCCAAAGTATTTGCATGTTGGATTACGACATCCCTTTTATAATATGTAAATAATGTTGTTGGGTCCTAGCCCTAATTTTTCATTTTGAGTGTTTAATTAGGGATTCAATACTAATCAAAGTTTGTCCTTTCTATTTTTAGATGTCGAACGCAAACAACGCTGCTGCTAACTCATTCACGTTAATGAGTCTTTGTCAAAAAGTCACTTTCGATGGATCGAACTTTAGCGAATGGATAAGATACATTCGCACGATCGCACGTTACAAGGACAAGGAGTATGTTCTCGATGAGAAGCTCGAGAAGATCATTCCAGAAACTGCTACTCCTGAAGAAATGGATGTCTTTGAGACACATGAACGTGATGCAACGAAAGTCCATTGCATCATGATAGCCACAATGAACTTCGAATTCCAAAAGTCCTATGAGGACATGTATCCTTATGAGATGCATCTAGACTTGATGGAGAGATATCACCAAAGCGCGAGGCAAGAGCGCTATGAGATCATAACGAATATGATCACTGATAAAATGGGAAGTGGAGAGTCTCTAACCGTGCACTTACAAAAGATGAAAAGGTATGTTGATCGTCTTCGCAAGTTGAATGTCAACTTTGGGGAGGATTTGGCTATCGACATTGTTCTTCACTCCTTGCCCTCATGCTACAATCAATTTAGGATGACCTACCACATGAACAAATAAGAGGTCACCTTAAGCAAACTCCAAGGGCTCCTAAGGACTGCTGAGAGCAACCTCAAGGACAAGTCTGTTGCACCAACTCCCAATCCACCCGCTGCTCCTGTTTTGGCTATTGGGCAGGGAAGGGGCACACTAGAAAACAACCCTTTAATGACGCGCAAACAATGACACTCGCTGATAGAAGACGCGCATTGGTGTGTGCCCTAAAAAATAATGTCAAATTTACAAAATTTGAAGGATAGTGGACACGCATTTGTGTGTGCCCTAAAATTAGTGTAAGAAAAGAAAAAAAAATGCGGAGGGCACCTTTCATAAAGTGTGCGTCCTCTAAATATATCGCTTTATGTTTTTTTTTTGCCTAAAGGCGCGTTTTTAAAGGGGGAAAACGAAATCATTTGAAATTCTAAAATTTTGAAGAACCCCGCTTCTACCCTCTCTCCTCAGTATCTCCCTTTTCATTCACTCCTTCATTCTCTCTGTAAACCCTAAGCCATCGCCACTGCCACCACCATTGAGCCTTAAAAACTCAATCCACATTAGAATCCTACAATAGAACCCTAATAATCCTTTTGAATCAGCACATCCTTTTGAATCGGCTCGTCTTCCTTTACCTTTGTACTCTCTCTCTCTCTCTCTGCAAGCCCTAAGCTGCCACCACCAACATCGAACACGATAATCTTTAAGAGCTTGGAGTACATCTAGAAACCTAAACACACACTTCCTCCATCTCAAGATACTGGTTCAAGATCGGAACGCCAATCCCTCTGTCCCCACCCAGATCCCACGCACCACTGCCCCTAACCTTCTCCTTCAAAACGAAAGACACGCTCGATGATTCTTCCTCTACCGGTGGTCCCACCTCCGAATCACTTGAGACTTAAATTTTTGAGGACCGACTCTCACAGGTACATCTGCGTAATCAGAGTGGCAGAGGGAAGAAAGTCGACCCATGGAAGAGCATGAAGTCTGGGAAGAAATCCGGTTGGAGTTCTGGATCTAGGGCAAACATGTACCTCCCACTGGTGTCTTCGAAGACACCACACCTGTTTTTCTCAATCTTGACGTTGAGGAGAGTCACAGACACCACACCTGATTTTCTCTCTCTCTCTCTCTCTCTCTCTCTATCTATCTACCCCTACTACTCGACAACCACCCACCATCCTTCGTCTTCTTTCTGGTTCACCAGCGCCACCAATAAAGCCCCCATTATACCACCAACACAACATACCACAAGATTAAAGAATGAAACATTGGGTTTTTGTTTTGAATCCCAGGTACAGCATTTGCTGAGGTTATTTTTTCTTAGTCAACTAATTTTGTATTTTTTTTGGTTTTTTATGGCTGCTCAGAAGATGTTGGGTTTTTGTATTTTGCATGTAAGCATCTGAAAATGGCGTTTGGGATTCAGAAGAAGTTGAATTAGGGTTTTCAGTTTCTTTCACGCGTTAACATATGCTTATCATAGTATCAACGCGCAACGCATCAGGTTTTCCGCTCATCCCCACTCAGTTATCGGATATCAGTAAGTAATTCATACGTTCGATTTTATCTGTCTTGTCTTCGTATTTGGTTATGTCCAAAACATTGAAGGAGATGCTCATTGGTATCACTGTCGTATATGGAAACCTTGATTGCTTAGCTTGAGATTAGTACTCACTCACCTAATATAAGTTTTGGTGAATCATATCCATATCAAATTTGTTTTTATTGCATATTTTGATGTGGTTATACTTTCTGAATTCTCTTAATTTGAAGTTGAGAGAACCAAGATTATTGTTTCTAGATGTCCTGAATTGTGGTTTGCTTCAGGATCAGGTAATTCTTATTTTGAGTTATACTAGATGTTACTATGACATTCCAGTGTATAGAATACACTTTATTTGGACAGTTACACACACGCAACTATCATATCTTATATGTAGTGTCCTAATATTTGGAAAATAGCAATTACAATAGCCTCAGTTATATGCCAAGAGCATAATTAAGAAGTCCCAAAACCAAAATGATTAATAATCTACCTAGTCAACTAAAATACAACTAGAAATATCAAAAGGGTGCTATTAAATCAACCAAATTTCATGTCATTTTAAATTAAATCCAAATTTCATTTTTCAACTATGCTAAAATTTGATCATTAAATCTTGATATAAATAATTGGGTTCAATAAGATTGTGGGGATTTTCGGTTTATAGTTACTCCCTAATGTAACATTATGCCATAACATTATGCTAAAATCTAATCACAATCTCAGGAAGCAACTTAGCCCATGTTTTGACCTGCACATCTTGGAAAACCTAAAACTTGGACAACCATCCAAGATATTATATATGAAATCAGTCTTTTGAATCACTATCTACTTATTTTACCTCTTACTTTCCTTTTGCAGCCTGAAAATCTTTTGTTAGATTCCCAAGGAAATTTAAAGATTTCAGATTTTGGACATAGTGCATTGCCAGCAGAAGTAAGATTTGAATATGTTGTTATAGTATCGTCCATCAGGATCATCATCATTAATTTATGTGTCTGCAGGGTGTCAGTATCCTTCGAACAACCTGTGGAACTCCCAACTATGTTGCACCAGAGGTAATTACAGTTGCAACTTATCCTTTTTTTTTTCCTTCTTTTTGTAGACTTTGGTAATTCTTAAATAATGTTGGTGGCTGCATGCAGTTTTACAAGAATTTCTGTAACAATCTTAAAGATATCATCTAGAAACCACCCAACGAACAACAATAGCATGGGAAATCCAAAATCACCAAAACAAAGAGCAAACACCGTTAGATCCCTTGGTTAGAGGTCACTCATAATCAATTTCTTTCTTTCTTTTTGTAAACTAAACTAAACTAGCTTAATCTTATCTTTAAGTTTAACTTAAGTTTGATTGATTACACATATTGTTATTATTAATTGGTTCAAATTTTCGTTGTTACAGGAAGATAGGCCAACACTGTTGTAGTTACACCCATCTCTTTCTACCTCCAAAAGAATGTAAATAATATTTAATGCAGATAAAGGTCAATATTTGGTGCAGATAAATTGGGTGAGCTTAAAACTGTAAGTCTTCAGGACGTAATAGGAATGATATGTAATGCAAATAAAGGTCAATATTTTGTTATTTTGAGATGTAATAGCAGCAGCAAATAAAGCAGGAGATTTTGTTGGTGTGTGATTCACCCCAATCCCCAACACAGGAGAGAACTTCTCGAATCCAAGTGGTCTAGATACTGAAGAACCACTCCTAGTAGCAGTTTTCGACTTGACAACCTGCGAATTGGGTTCTCTTATTTCCTGAATAACATAGTCTTCATCAAGGAAGAACAAAGCTGAAATAAAGCAACAAGATCTTTCAAACTTTTAGGATGACGATGAGAAAGCTGTATGTGTGATTTTTTTTTCTAATATGATCCATTTTTTATGATGATATGCTGCATTCTGTGATGATAGTGTGAGTTGCTATCATTTTTAATCTATTAATGACCATGCTTTGTGTTTTTATAATGCAGTAACTGGAAGGCAATTCTTTGGGGACATCAATGCAGTTTGACACCTTTGGATTTACTGCAGCAGAAGTGGCTAGGAAGCAGGTTGAGAACGAAAAAAAATGAGAGGTACAATCTACTTTTCTTTTGTAATTTATTTTTGTTCAATTTCTATTATCTCTCACACCCTTTATGATATCTAATTAATTTTTGTTAAATTTCTATTCCTGGACCTGCTCCTGTTGAAATAGTTGTTCTAGCCACAGATCCTTTCAGTTTGTTTTCATTTAATATAAAATTTTCATTTCATTTTGAATAGCATCTCACTATATCTTACTATCATCATGCTGTTAATAACTAGGTGTCTGATTGATGCTGAAAATGGGATGGCGTCGTGGTCACTCAATAAAGAGTTCAAAAACTGGTTCACTTTTTGGTATGCTCTTCAAGTGTCACTAATATGTCAAATCAATCCAACATAAATTGCATTTGTTATAATCTATTAATAGCATGCAGTCACAAGGAAAAGAAGATGCTTTAAAAAAGCTTTGAATGACCATCTCTAATTGCAGATGCTTGCAGAGAAGCTAGAAAAGCTTTTCTTGCTTTAATTTCTTTTTCTCCAACTTTATTATTTACATCTAATCTAGTCTTCATTATCATCTACATATTCATGTTGGGATCTCAATGCTACAGAAAGGTTTGCAAGATTACCATATTCTTCTACTTTTTTTTTCTATGAACTCTATGAATTCTTTTTTCTCGTATGTGTTTAGGATGGTTCGTTGGGTGTCTCTACTTATGATGCTGAGAAGAACTGCATGTGCCTCTTCGTATCATCAAAATCAACCCCTTATCAACCTGCATGTGCCTCTTCGTGTCACCATTGAAGCCATGGCAAAGGCTTTTGGTGTCACAGTTGATTTCATTGATCTGTAAGCAAATTATCTAACATTATTTTCGTTGAATTATTTGTTCCTATATGTACCATGAGGGTATTACGGTATTTTTAACAACGTGTGTGTGATTGTTTGAATTTGAAGGGGGAAACAGGGAGCTGTTACGATTCATTGCACCAGGGAAGCTTCATTGCAAGATCAACAAAGTAGCAGGTGTTTTGGAAACCAACCGCCCAGATGCAAAGAATGCTCTTTATCAAATCTTAGTATAGTTATTCTCCAAGAGTAGATTAGATGAATGAAATTTTATATATTGTAAGAAATAGAATTGTATGACATTAAATTTTATGCAATGGATTGTATTTTTTTTATATGGTATTTTATTTTTATTATGAGACAGTAAATGCAAATTTAATTTGAAAATTCATAAATATATAAATATATTTTTTTTAAACATTTAATTTTACGATACGCAAAAATGTGTGACATCTTCTTTTATGACATGGCCTTTCTTGACAAGGGTTTTAATGATACGCATTATGTGTCATTAACACGCGCGTCGTAAGGTTACGACACGCGAATGCGTGTCGTCTTCCTTTATGACAGGGCTTCCTTGATACGCATTGCGTGTCATAAACAAGCGTCGTAAATGAGCGTCGTTAATGCGCGTCGTCTATAGATTACGCGCAAAAGCACGTCGTCTCTCTTTATGACAGGGCCTTCCTTGACGCGCATTTTCGTGTCGTCTGAGCCTTTTACGATGCGCAATGAGCATCGTAAAAGGCTGTTTTTCTACTAGTGGCAAGAAGAGGAAGGCTTCGTCAAAGAACCACCGCAAGGGAAAGTCCCAAGATGGTTCCTCTTCTAGTGGGACCAAGGTTGATCCTGCTAAGCTCAACTCTAACCCAAAGGAGGCAGAGTGCCATCATTGCCACAAAATAAGGCATTGGAAGAGAAGCTGCCCGGAATATCTGCAAGCCATCAAGGATGGGAAGTTCAAGCCATCTTTTGAAGGTATATACACAATTAAATCTAATGACTCATCTCGTGTTATTTCTTGGGTTCTTGATACAGGGTGTGGTTACCACATTTGTTCTGATTTGCAGGGACTAGGAAGAAATAGGGATGTGGAGCTTGGAAGAATAAATCTAATCATTGGGAATAGAAGATCGTTGCATGTCACCATGATTGGAGTGTATTCTTTAGTCCTTAGTAATGGATTGAATTTAGATTTAAATAATTGTTGCTACTCGCCACATATGGCAAGAAACATCATTTCTTTTCATGGTTTATTTAGACAAGGATTTAGATATTTGTTTAATAATGAAAATGGTTCGATTTATGCTTATCTAAATGGTGTTTTATATTTTGAAGCAATGCCTTTTAATGGAATTTATGAAACTGTTATGGTTGTAGATAACCTAGGAAATGATGTGTTGTGTATAGATTCTTCCAATAGTATGGATAAAGCATCTTTGTGGCATTGTCGTCTTGGACATGTCAACAAGAAGCGCATAGCCCAACTCCAAAAGGATGGAGTGTTGGAGTCATTCGACCTTAGGGAAGATGACACATGCGAATCTTGTTTACTTGAAAACATGACCAACTCACCCTTCACTGGCACTTGTGAGAGGAGTGAGGCTCTATTGGATCTCATACATACCGATGTATGTGGGCCCTTTAGATCCACCACAAAGGATGGGAACCGCTTCTACGTGACTTTCACCGATGATTATAGTAGATATGGATATATATTTACTTAATCAAGCACAAGTTAGAAGCGTTTGAAAAGTTCAAAGAATTCAAGTATGAAGTGGAGAATCAATTGGGCAGGAAAATCAAGATGCTTTGATCCGATCGAGGAGGAGAGTACCTAAGTCTTGAATTTCACGACTATCTCAAGGAATGCGGAATAGTTTCGCAATTGACGCCACCTAGGACACCACAATTGAATGGTGTGGCAGAAAGGCGTAATCGAACCTTGTTAGACATGGTCCATTCTATGATGAGTCATGCTTCACTACATATCTCATTCTGGGGGTATGCCTTAGAGACTGCCGCCCATATCCTTAACCGAGTCCCTACAAAGAAGGTTGCCAAAACACCTCACAAGATATGGACAGGGAAAGCTCCCTTGTTGGCATATATCAAGGTTTGGGGTTGTGAAGTTTTCGTAAGATGAGATACTCACGACAAGCTTGAACCTCGTAGTGAGTGATGTATTTTCATCGGCTACCCGTAGAAATCCTTTGGATATCTCTTCTATAGACCGAATGAAAATGACGTCTTCGTTGCGAGGAGAGGGGTTTTCCAAGAGCGAGAACTCATAAGCCAAGGAGACAGTGGGAGGCAAATCGATCTTGATAAGATTCAAGAATCGAGTGATGAAGGAACCTCGACCCTGGCGCTCAACCCGAGGAGGAAACTGCAGTTGAACCGATTGACCAATCCTTACCTCTTAGACGTTCTGAAAGAGTTAGAGTTCAACCCCAGTTGTATGGTTTTCATATTACTACCGAAGGGGACACGTATATTAGTGACAGTACACTAGTAAATCTAGATGAACCTAACGGCTATAAGGAAGCCATGGCAGGCCCGGAGTCTGCTAAATGGAAAGAGGCGATGGATAGCGAGATTCAGTCCATGTATGACAACCAAGTTTGGAATTTGGTTGACAATATACCCGGACGTAAGACGGTTGGGTGCAAATGGATCTTCAAGAAGAAGACCGACGTGGATGGGAATGTACACACGTATAAGGCACGACTGGTGGCGAAGGGCTTTACTCAAACTCCCAGAGTTAACTATGATGAGACATTCTCACCAGTTGCCAAGATAAAATCTATTAGGGAGATGCTAGCCATTGCTGCATTTCATGATTATGAGATATGGCAGATGGATGTCAAGACCGCTTTCCTTAATGGGAAGTTGGTTGAGGATGTTTACATGGCTCAGCCAGAAGGTTTTGTTGATAAGAAGCATCCCAATAGAGTGTCCAAGCTTGAGAAGTCCATTTATGGACTTAAGAAAGCATCTCACAGATGGAATCTTTGCTTGATGAGAAAGTCAAAGAGTTTGGATTTGTACGAAGCGAAGATGAATCGTGTGTATATGTCAAAGCCAGTGGGAGTATAGTTAGCTTTCTCGTTTTGTATGTTGATGACATAATGTTCATTGGAAATGACATCCCGACTCCATAGGAGGTTAATTCCTGGCTCGGGAAGTGTTTCACTATGAAGGACCTCGAAGAGGCTTCCTATATTTTGGGAATAAGGATAGTGAGAGAACGAAGTAAGAGACTAATAGGACTTAGTTAGAATACTTACTTAGATAAGGTACTAAAACATTTTAGTATGGAAAAGTCGAAGAAGGGAGAACTACCGATACAAAGTAATGCCAAGTTGAATAAGACTCAAAGTCCGAGTACTGAAGCCGAGATAGATGAGATGAGTCGAGTACCTTACGCTTCCGCAGTTGGCTCAATCATGTACGCTATGAATTGTACTCGCCCTGATGTGGCCTTTGCTTTGAGCATGGTCAGTAGATATCAAGGTAACCCTGGCAGAGCTCATTGGTTGCGGTTAAGAATATTCTTAAGTACCTTCGGAGAACCAAGGAATGGTTTCTAGTCCTCGAAGGGAGTGATGACTTGAAGGTGCAAGGGTATAGTGATGCCATTTTCCAGACCGACAGGGACAACTACCGTTTGCAGTCAGGTTGGGTCTTTACCCTAAATGGAGGAGCAGTGACATGGAAAAGTTCCAAGCAAGAAACTGTAGTTGATTCAATGTGCGAATCATAGTATATTGCAGCGAGCGAAGCGTCAAAGGAGGTGATATGGTTGAAGAACTTCATTGGTGACCTTCGAGTTGTGCCTGCCATAAAGGAGCCTATGGAAATTTTTTGTGATAATGAAGGATTGGTTGCCTTGACCAAGAAACCGAGGGATCATGGTAGATCTCGGCATATCGACAGAAAATATTACTTTATTAGACATCGAGTAGAAGAAGGACACCTCGTGGTTAAGAGGATATCATCAGAAGATAACCCAACAGATCTGCTTACGAAGGGACTGAGTAGGGTTAAGCACTTGCAGCACGCTAGGGGCATTGGACTTAAGGATGATATTAGTTTAGATTAGATAGTTTTAGAAACATATAATAGATAAATGTAATTGACATTTGATGATTAAATAAAGAATTATTATTTATAAGTAAAGTTACTGTCTTATGTTAATTGTTTAACTATTCTTTCAATTTGCATGTTTTGACTTCCAGAATAATTGAGTTTGTTAAGAATAATCGAATTATTCAAATAGTCCACAATTGTTCATGTGTTGGAAGTAGATATGAATGAAGATTGTCATGAATTGGTGTGCAGATTGTCTAAATGGTATTAGACATAGCAAAGGTTTGGTACAATGTTCATGAGTGATTATGAACAAGTTTTGAGCATTGGAATAAACGTGCGCTTGCTGGAATCACTTTATGGAATGTGACAAAAGTGATCGCAAGACGATAATATCATATGGTCATAAAACCTAGATATATGGTTTATTATTTACTAATTAGTTGTGCATTGATAATGCGAAACCGCATCAGTAAATTGATGTTATAAAACGCATTTTTGTGTATAATTGATTGGTGGATAAGTAAATGCATGTAAGTCGAAGTTTATCTGTTACTTTTATCCTAAGAGGGTAAAAGCGATATCACGGCCACTCGATGATTTGATTTGACTTATGTGCCGGGCCCGGTCAGGAATGAATTGATGTGTTTAATTAAGTTCTATGTCAAATAAATCTGAGATCGAGAAACCAACTGCTGGACAATTAGTTCCATGAGATCGTTCGGACAATATCTAAACAGAGGACTGTACGATCCCTTATCTAAAGGACAGGTTACTGATGAAATCAGAGTTGACAGCGCCTTTGAGAGTTACGATTGCTAATTGGATTGTGTTTGCATTTATAGTTACTAGACGTATCCAAGTAGGAGACTGTTGGATTAGTGTCTAAGGCTGTAACTATATTTGGTAAGTACTTGACCCGGTTGTGCATGGTCCTTTTGGGTTGCCTTCACCATAGCAACTTGACAAGGTGATTTATATAGAGAGGAGAAATATTATTATTAATGTGTTATAAGACTAATATATTAAAGGAATAATAATATTATTTGATTGATATAAGTCATAAATTAATTAGGAATTAATTTGGTGACTTAAAGAGATTAATTAAATAAAGGGGCATAAACTGTCAAATGTGTGATAGCTGTGTTTTAGACATTGAAT